CCCCCCCCCCCCCCTTATGTTATGATAAGAAACCAGACAATTCGATTGATCGAAGAAGTAAAAGTATAGCCAGGAAGAAACATCCCCCATGGCTAAAAGCTGAGAGACATCAAAAAATTGATGCCAATTAGCTTTCGTGAGGAAAGAAAAATCACTAAAAAATACGAAGTCCAATTAGAAGCAGCAAAATTCAACAACTACCAAAATCACAAAAAGTATCTAATTATCTCATCAGAAGCCCCTCAAGTTCTTTAATCAAATCTTTAAATCTAGGCCTTCCCTCGTTGGCTTTGTTGCAATAGGCTAGAGAATCTAGGCTTTAACACCAAAAGACTGATCATACATGATCTAATAACAGAAACCAAAAATCTACAAAAGCATCAGGGCGTAACAAACCTAAGAAAAATACTACCAACTTGAACGTGTAAAGAAGCAATAAAGAAGGAAATGAACAAAGTCTAGTTCCCAGGTTCACTGCATGAGACACACTGATGGAAAGAAAGAAATCAAAGAATATTTGTAGAAAAGACACAGACTTCTACAAAACTTTTCGATAATGTTGTTTACCATGTTATATCTGGGAGTAAATTGTCTAATATTTTACTTCCTATAGTTATACCTCCCTCATTGTAAATTGGGGTCTTTTGTAAACATCGTGGATATTACATCCTTTTTGTAAATTTCAATCATTAATGAAATTGTCTCTTATCAGGAGAAGAAAAAAAAAAGAAGAAGAAGAAGAAGGCAAAACATGAAAATGTTTGAACTTCTCCTTTGGTTTCATTGGTACGAGAACATCAAAGAGCTTAGTCAAAAGGAAACAAACTAAGTGTCTTTCCATTCGAAACAAATTCCCGTAGGCCTTCATGACAAGTATGGACTTGTTGATTCTTCAATTTGGTAAAACAATGACTGGTTTCAGACGCCTCAAAGTCTATCATGCTTACTAATCCTGCCATCCAACCTTTTTTTATAATGTTACCCATCTATCCAACCAAACCTGTGACAAACGAAAGTTGAATGCTCTGTGATTCGAGGATCTCTTAAAATTAAGCATCCAACCACCAAAGTTATTGTTCCAGCAGTCTCAGCTATTGCTGCAGTCATTGTCAATCAGAGACCGTCTTGAGTAAACTTGCCTTAAGGCACAACTACCAAACCAAGAAGATTTACATAATATAAAGTTTAGAACCATTACTAACTTAGAATATTGAGACAGAACTAACCAAGATTTTGCGCTCACAAATGAAAACCCCGGGGTAGTCATCTACATCTACTAAGAGAAGAAGAGGCACTGGACCAACCAATCCAATCAGTACCCATACTTGCTAGGGATAGCTATGCCACAAAGTATCGAATTCCAGATAAAAACCTCAACAACAATTGGGAAAATTTACTCAAAATATCTCATGATTTGTCAAATTTCAGGGCTTATTTAAAATGTATGTCGGCTAACTTACGAAATGGGCGGGAATGTCAAAATGGACAGTCTAGTTGGAGTTTGCCTGCCCATTTAGATGAAGACCTCCTATTTTAGGAGTTTTCTTGTGACCTTAATCTTCAACACGATTTAGAAGCACATGGCTCTCAGATTCCCAGTGACTCAAAAGTGTGTTCAAACCACCGTCTCCACAAAATAGTTAACTCGGTTTAGACAGGCTAACATTTACGCCTCCTAATAGAGTTCAGAAACATCAAACATTTCGAACAACTAAAGAACTTCACTAAATAGTAAGACTATGAAATGATGTATCAATAACAATAAATATATTTGAGAAAGGGACGTCATTTCCAAACCATTTGGCGACATTGGTAAGTGCAGAGCATCTGCTCAGAGGGCTCGTGCGAACACTCTGGTTGTGTCGTTGCTGGAACCACGGGAAGAGGATCTTCATAGATAACGAGCGGAAGATCTGAGGCACCTGCCGATGAGGAATCGGGCAGAGCCCTAACATCGGATCGTTGCTTCTTAGGTGGAGGAGTCCTGACAATCATCCTGCTGCCTTTCCAGATTCCAATTGCTGTGTTAGGGTTTGT